TTGATGCTTGAGCTTTATTTTTATCATGTCTACAGTGAAATATTCCTATCCTACCGTTCAAATGTTGAGAGTAGGTACAAATGTTTTTTTCTTTGTTTTTGAAAGAACCCTTATGCTCATCAAGGTTGCATTTGTTTGATCAAAAATACTGTAAAAATAGTAATATTTTATTACAGTTTAAAATAACAGTTTTCTATTTTAAAAAGTAATTTATTCATGTGATGCAAAGCTGAATTTTCAGCAGCCATTACTTCAGTCTTCAGTGTCACACGATCCTTCAGAAATCATTCTAATATTCTGATTTTGCATTCAAGAATGATTTCCTTATTATTAATATTAAAACAGCTGCTAAGTATTTTTGTGGAACTCGTGATACATTTTTTCATGATTCTTTGATGAATAGAAAGTTTAAAAGAACAGCATTTATTTGAAATGGAAATCTTATTGAAATCTTTTGTAACATTTTTAATGTCTTTAATGTCTCTTTTGATCAAGTTAATGCATTCTTTCTGAATAAAAGTATTAATTTGTTTAAAAAAAATCTTACTTACCCAAAATGTTTGAATTGTTGTCTATATATCTGCATATTAAACATTAAACATTAGAGTGAATTTGTTCATCGCTTTCATTTTTTTTTTCAGTGAGGAAGTACAAAGGACTTGACGCTAGCAAGGATGGAATGTAATATTTTACATTCATTAGTAAAGAAAAACAGAGTCACCATTGTAGATCTCTCTTTCTTTCCATCACTTCCTCCGTTTTATCTCCTTAGCTCGCATCAAGCTCAGCCATAGTCTGAGTCCCACAGTGCAATGCACAACACTTTTCCAGTGTAACGAATGAAATGGAAGTAATGTCCTCAGTGATTTGATGTGACATTTTTGGATTACAAATGCAAAACAGACAGCTGGACTAAAAGGATAATTCACCCAAAAATTCTGCCATCATTTACTTACCTTCATGTTGTTCCAAAATGTATGACTGTGTAATGATGAGTAAATGAAAGCAGAATTTTCATTTTTGATCTATCTCTTTAAACATGCAATGTAATGAGGTTATGGGACAACAACATATACGATCTAAAACCCAGTATGCAATAAACAACATGCTAGTCTTCCATTTTGAAAACAGCCATTGTTTTGAGTTTGTAAAGGATTTGCGACAACCTACATTTGTCCACCATGCACCCGGCTCACACATGTCCGTTTTTTCCAGCAGTGCTAATGATGTGTGAATAGGAGACCTGTGTAGGGGGTACAGTGAGGGGCCCCAGCAGCCCTCTGTGTGTTTGTGACTGAAAACTGCCCGTTTGCACTGCATTTCGCTTTGTACATACCCTCTGCCAGAGCTGCAACAGATGGACACACAATCACCCTCGTGTGCCGCCTTTCACACGAATTGTGCTAACTATGTGTGTGAGGTACATATAATGAAGCTACTCATGAGTCCAGACAAACTCAGTGTCACATACAGTTTCAATTAAATGCTTTTATACACATGTATACATCTAAAAGGACAGATATGCTTTAAATGGCATTCCTACGGTACACGCGTACACTCTCTCTCAAAGGTCATCATGTTGTATGATGGTGCGAGGCTGGCCTAGATAAGATTCATCAGCAGCCCGTATGGCTCGTAATTCCCCTCTAACGGCGTAGCTCATAAAACTTGCTTGTGCGGGAACTGCAAAGACCTTGCTTGTGTTTACGACTCTTTCCTGTCAACCTCTGTATGTACAGTTGTGTTTTCGTAGTTGTTTTCGTCAGGGGATCTCCATAGTTAGTAATACAGCGATGCGGTCAGGTGTGCACATGCTACAGTGTTCGTTGTCAGAGCCAAAGTGGAATTTGTGTTTGTGTGTCAGTGACCTCATTGTGCCTGTTTCGAGGGAGCACACGTGAATTTGACGGGGGTTTAAAGCATTCTCAATTTGATCGAGGATGTTGTTTTGGTGCTCAGGTTAGTGAGCCGACATGGGCGCGTGGGAGATCTGGGGCGAAGAGGAAACAGCTTGGACTCTGGTACTGAAGAACGAGCGGTGTCGGAGCAGCGAGGAGAACGTTTCAAATGAGTGAGCCGCAGGAATGCTAACTCCCACCGTTACCGATGTTGGCCGCCTTTCTCTCTCACACACTCTTTAGCAGAGTTTTGAGTATCACATATGCTTGTGACAAACAGGCTTTGCGTCCTTGGGGTGTTTGTGTGTTATTGTTATGAACGCATGTCGAGTCGTGAGGGATTTGTTACATTTGTCATTCGTGCACAAGTACGTAGTGTTACAGAGTATGATTGTGTGTGGGGCTTTAACACACCAATTAAAAAGAGATTAGAGACGGCTGAAGTGTTGCGTCCCTGGAAGAGAGCGCAGAGAGAAACTCATAACAACCTGATCCATAGGATTTGGGACTTGAGAAATAACCGTTCAAGAAAACTGTCATTTACAAACTGTGTACATTACAACGGCCTTCTCAGCTAGTGCTTTCTTACCACTTTGTTTATATATCACGTCACGTATATATGGTGGATTTATATAATGTATCTCGTGTTTGTGCGTTTGGGAGCGGGAGAGACCTGTTCCAGTGTAATTTTCTCATGTCCTTGAGGAGAACAGTGCAATAACTCTTTCAGTAAACAGTGGCCACAGCTTTCGCACAACTATCACAATCACTACTCACACCATGTGCCGCAGGCTAGCTAGATAAATCCTCTTGTTTTTGTGTTTTTGCTCGAAGGTCTTGCGTCAAGGCTGCACTGCTTCTAACGTGGTACAGCAGATTGGAAGCTCTAATATGAAACAGTGTATGTGGCGTCTCAATGGCTATGTTCAAAATAGCATACTACTTTTGCTGTTTCTGCAGTATGGAAAGTGTATATACTCTGCATAATATGATCATTATCAGTATGCACTGAATCCCCCCGCATGCCTAATATAAAATGTGCTGTGTCTAACTGTATCCCACAATGCAACGCACTTGATTTGACCTTCTATTTCCAGTATGATGAATGAATTGGAAGTGATATCTTTTGTATGAATCATTATTTGAGTCAATTTTGTTTAATTGTGGATTAAACGTGCAAAAGTATCAATATTTATTTCCTTAATAAATACGGTTATGGACTCCACTTGATTAACTAAACATGATATGGCCATGTGACCTTGTAGCATGCTAATGTTCAAAACATTTATTGTGCATTCTGTTTATTATACTGTTTTGAAAAAGAATGTATGTACTGTTTACTATTGCTATTATATCAAATATATGAAATGTATATTTGTGACCCTGGACCACAAAACCAGTCATAAGGGTCAATTTTTCGAAAATTGAGATGTATACATCATTTGAAAGCTGAATAAATAAGCTTTCCATTGATGCGTGGTTTGTTAGGATAGGACAAAATTTGAGACTATTTGAAAATCTGGAATCTGAGGGTGCAAACTAATCAAAATACTGAGAAAAGTTGTCCAAATGAAGTTCTTAGCAATGCATATTACTAATCAAAAAGTAAGTTTTGATATTTTGTAAATTTCCTACCGTAAATATATCTTCATGGAACATGATCTTTACTTAATAATATAATTGGTAACACTTTACAATAAGGTTCATTAGTTAAACATTAGTTAATGTATAAACTAACATGAACTAACCATGAGCAATACATTTGTTACTGTATTTATTTATCTTCACTAACGTTAGTTAATAAAAATACAGATGTTCATTGTTAGTTCATGTTAGTTCACAGTGCATTAACTAATGTTAACAAGATTTTAACAATGTATTAGTAAATGTTGAAATTAACATGAACAAAGATTAATAAACGCTGTATAAGTGCAGTTCATTATTAGTTCATGTTAACTAATGTAGTTAACTAATGAACCTTATTGTAAAGTGTTACCATATAATTTCTGTTATGTTGCAATAATAAAATCAGTCAATAAATAAAGCCAAAACGGTGTACTTACTATTTTTTATAGTGTGTACTGCACAGTATGCTAGTACTCTGTTCCAAACATAAAATATTTAACCAGTTTTAAGCATTAGAATTGCATACTTGGCTCTCGAGGGATGAGAACTCGCATCATAGACTGTAAATGTAAAGGAGATAGATCGGAGACTGCTTGATTGCATGCGTCACGGCTGAGGAGGGAGTGTTGGCTGGGCCGTGAAGTGTGGAGAGATGGGCCGGTAGACATAGTGTGTGTGCTTGTCAAGGTTAGACGGGCTCACCACTGCAGTGTGCTCATTGTTCCTGCCCCCCTCGGCAGCCTCCCACCCTTCCCTCGTGCTGCAGTCCTCCTCTTCCCTCAAGAAAAACAGCCCTATCTCCTACACACACATTTTCTTACATTTAGCGCCAGTGTGTGGGGTTGTCATGTCACCCAACCACTGTACAGCTGCTTTATGTTGTGCGACAACATTACCATTCATTCTTAATGCTACAGGAAACAGGAGATCCCATAGTCTGCAGGAAGTTGTAATTTAACATGTTTCTTCCTCCTCTGACATTCACTTATCAACTACTTTTTGTGTCTCTGTGATGGAGGGACAAAGATGTGCGTTGCACTTTCTGGTTTGCTCTGCCAAATAGAGGATGTTACGGATTGTAAACATTAGAAACACATGAATCACGCAGTCTTAAGCGAATGGTTATGTCAGATGAATGTAAGGTCTCTATCCTTCTGTGTCAGCTATATTAAGCTCTGTCTGAGTCTGATAACCATCAGCACGGAGCTTGCCCTGGATTCATGGTGTGTGACTTGCACGCACGCGCGCACATACACACACACACACACACACACGCACGCACGTATTTCCAAGCCTCGCAGCGTGTTTGTCGAACACGTTGAGCCGAGGAGGTGACGGACAGATTGAATGTGGTAATTTATGCACAAGCTCTGTGATATCAGATGTATTACATGTCTGAAAGCTTGCAGCTAAGTGTTAACACTTTTGTGAATGAGGTTGTGCTCATAAAGCATGTGTTTGTGTGTTTTCTCACAGAAGGTGGTGGATGATGACAGTCAAGGGAGGAAGTCCAGTCCTGCACCCTGCCCACCTAACAGCAAGCTGTCTGATAGCGTCCTGGAAAAAAAGCTACCTTCTAAGGTACTGCATCACTTTACAACAAAGTCCATTTAATGCAAGTCAGGCCACTCAACAGGCATCTTGGCATCGATCCCGGGCAGCTATTTTCTATCTAAGCAATAGACCTGCAAGTATCATGTGTGCTAAAATGGGGACTGTCTAAAATCTACAAAACTGCTTGGTGTGTAATAACCGTTCAATCATTTATAAGATCTGACAAAAGTTATTTAATAAATGTAGCTTTTTTTAGCTGAAATTAGGCTAATAAGGCAGTGTACAGTGGGACTTCCTTTCCTACAGCCCCCATTTTGAGCATTCTCTAAATTGTTCTTCAAGTGGTCCGTCTCCTCCATGTCTCTGTTTACACGCAGGCACAGAACAGCCTCCCCGTTTATCCACACACACCCTCGTCCTCATCTAGTAAGAAGCAGGAAACAGCCTCTCTCTATCTTACTCACTCATACTCATCGTATGCCTCAAAACCGACCTCACCCTTCCACCCACCCCTAGACAACTCCCACATTCACACCCCTTACTCTCATTTTCTTTTTCAGTCACTCATTCATTCAGAAATATCTAATTTCACATGCACCAGAGCCCCAACAGCCATCTGGGTGTCACATCACCCTGTGTTCTTCATCTTTTCATTTCGGGTGACGATTTTGGGTTGACCTAATGACAGTTGGGCAGGGTTAGGTGTAAACGGGGCTCAGACTGCAAACCACTTTCAAAGGAAGGCATTGTTTACTTATAACACAGTACAGTTCAAAAGTTTGAGATCAGTAATTTTTGTTAGTATAAAAGTTTAAAGAAGTCTCTTATGCTCACCAAGGCTGTATTTATTTTATATAAAATACAGTAAAGTCAGTAGTATTGTGAAAACATTCAAACTTAAAATAACAGTTTTCTATTTTAATATATTTTAAGATGTAATTTATGCCTCTGATGGCAAAGCTGAATTTTTTAGCATCCATTACTCCAGTCTTCAGTGTCACGTGATCCTTCAGAAATCATTCTAATATGCTGATTTGGTGCTCAAAAACAGTTGAGCTGCTTAATATTTGTGTGAAAACATAACTATATAACTTTTGTTATAATTTTTTTAAATACATTTTTTATTGTAATTTTCTTAACGGTAGAGTATTTTTCAGGTGATTTATTTGAGATGACGTTAAATAAAGGTGTACAAAAAATATTGACATTTGACTACATTGTGCTTGTAGTGTAAATATTAATTCACTAGTCACGCAATCAGAGGCCGTCCTCTCAAAATCCTTTTACACGAGACACATCTTTAAAACAAGGTGGAAATTGAGCCACATTCTCACCCAATATACCTCACCCAGTCTTTAAATTAACAATCAAACAGCCAGAAACCCACCTGGGCTGTTTCACTTAACGCTGTCTTTTTCTTATCCTCTTCATTAATGCTCTACCTGTCAGCCTGTGCTCTGTGGCCACTGATGGATGAATTCTTCTCATGCATACATGATATTACAGCAGGATGTTTGTACTGCTCTTTGTTTACTTTGCTTCAGACGTCCTCTCTCCCCTTACTAAGTTTCCTCTCTGTGTGTTTGTACATTTGTGTGTAATTATTGCTGTTTGACTGCTCCTGCGCAAATGCTCTTCATAATCTGTGTGTAATGAGACCTTAAAGAATTTCTGTATTATTCATGCACAAATATGTGTTGACATGTATTTTAATGCAGCTCAAACAGTCCATTTCATATTCAAATGGTCCTAAAGTGCTTCATTAATATTGATACGCGTTTGCTTGTGTGTGTACAGGGCAACTTACAGTCTTCAGTGGCATTCAGTCGACTGTTTCCTGACATCAAAGAGGAACCAGGACACAGCCCCGTCATCCACCCTAGGTATGGCCCTTTTTTCCCAGCATTCCCTTGTTCCAGGATTTCAATAGGATCACGCAAGTGCATATGTTAAAATGGGCAAAATTCCATAGATGTCCTATAGACTGTGTCTAAGGTTTCTAGGGTAACCTAGGTTTCTTTGATTTGGACCTGCAAGCGTTGACCTTAGAAACCATTCAGGACACCCTAGCAACCGCATAGCAATGCCTTGTCAACCAATCACAAGACCCTATCATTGTGATGGCATTTGTACCAATCATCTTTTTAGACAATGTTAAAACGTATTTAAGATTTATATTCGCAAACCTCATAAGAGAATAATAGTAGTTGACCTGAAGGCTCGCAGTCAGTCAACAAGAAAAAAGCAATTGAATTGCATTGCCACACATCAACTAGACCCGGTTCGTTTAAAAAAAAATTCTTTTTTATGTTAATTTATCCCAGTCTGATCTGATTATTGCGATTAGTAGTGCATCATTACCTGCTCAGCTGTTCGCGTGAAAGGCTCTCTGAGAGCAACGATTCTCATGATAATGTTGGAGTTTTTAGTTCCAGCGTTGTATGTGCACTGGCCTGAGGGTGTTTGTTATGTTTGCAGTTACTACCTGTACACGTACGATAAGATGGTGGCCCCTAACGTATCCCTGCAGAAGGAGGGGGAGGTGAGCCATGAGGTTCTGGGGGCCCTGCTCAAACAACACTACAGCAGGAGAACACTCACCCACGACAACCAGCCCACCACAGGTTTGTACCCCTGCACCATTTAGTTATCCTTGTAAATGAATGCACGTATATGCACAAGACATGCTAGAATGGTGTGCCGTTAAAGGTCAGAAGTTTATGGACATGCATGTGGTTGACTCCCTTAAAGGGTGAGGAGCTGCTGAGAGTGTCTTGCTAATGATTAATACAACTCAAATTTTATAGTTGCCAGTGAAGAGAGAGTGAATGAACAGAGGCCGCTGTCCCTGTGAGTGTCAGATTGCTCTAGAGTGCTGCGGAGGGGTCTCCAGTCTCCACCGCAGCACGCCACATTTCCTCCCGTCCTCCTTCTGCCTGTCTCTCTCTCTTTTTCCTTTTTTTTCTGTGCCTCACTCATCCTTTTTTTTCACTCTTTGATCCTCTTTCAACCCCCTCTGGCCCACTGCTCACCTCACTCTGTGCTTATCGCTTTCTTCCTCTGTTTTTTTTTTTTTTCTTTTCTTCTCACTTTTTTTCTGTCGTCTCCCTTCAGTGTACCCATTCTCCGTCCTGGCTCCCCTTTTCTCTCTCTTCCGTCTCACTTTCTTCCTGTCTCTCTTCCTCAGTCGGTTTCTTCTTCTTCCATGTACCCGTTCTCCATTCTGGCTCCCCTTTTCTATTTTTTTCTTAATTTTTTCTTGTACCACTTTCTTCCGTGTATCTGTTCTGTATCCAGGTGCCCTCTGTCTCTCTTCCTCCTTCATCTCTCTTTTTCAGTCTGTCTCTTGTTTTTCAGTATACTCATTCTCCATCTTAGCTCACCCCTCACTTTATTCTCAATTTGTCTCTTTCTTTATATACACCCAGTCTCCATCCTGACTCCCCTGTCTTTTGTCTCTCTTTCTTCCATGTACCCGTTCTCCATCCTGGCTCCCTTGTGTCCCTTCCGTCTCTCGTTCTCCATATTTGACTCATTCTTCTGAGTGACAGACTGGTCTTAGTCACAGTAGAGGCTAGCAGCAGTGCGAGGCTGTTCTTCGGCTCTGCAGTGCCAGATCTGCAGCCTGCCTGTCCTACATTCAAATGAGCTGTATCTCTCTTACACTCTCTTTCTTTCTCTCTCTCTTTCAGTCCCTTTGGACTCCCGTGTTGCTCATCTAAGCATACATGCTAGGCTGCTGTGGTTTGCCTGGTGCATGTGATTTGTATGTAGAGCGTGTGTAGCACCTTGGCAGCATTAAAAAATAACTTTAGATCGAGAAATTCTCCACATGCCTCACATTTCTGTGATGCTTCCAGCTCTTCCCCTCCATGCTGACCTTCAAAGAGAGACACCCACAGAGAATTAGTCACACAGACTTTCAGCACATGACAGATAAGGTGTGTGTGTGGTTAACCCTTTCTTTTCTTTCCCTCAGATCTTCCCGCATCTCATTCCTCCATTGCAGAGAAGGCCAAATCTCACAACGCGGGCGAAGCGAACGAGCGCCGCCAACCTCCTCCGTCAGTCGCCATGGAGATTAGCCCGGGCGGCAAGCAGCACGCCCCCATTCCCACGGAGGGCAAAGACAGTGGAGCTGAGGACGACAAGGACAGGATCATGCTAGAGATTGTGCAGATGTACCGGCGGCAGCAAGAAAAGCTGAATTCCACCCTTCAGAAACAGCTGCAGCTGGAGATGGTGAGACAGTCAGATTAGACAAATCCCTTCCTGAGTCACAGAGGCTCTGTTCCAAACCATAATGAGCTGCCCAACTGTCTGGTGTCTACATAGGCTTCTAAGGAAGCATCATAATTCATTAATGCGAATTCATTAATTGAGGCAAAATAAAAGTAATAATATCAAAAAAATAAATAAATATGTTAATGTCATTATACAAATTTAAATAAATAAATTATATCCTGCCTTCATACTTTAAGTTTGGCACACCTAAAATTACATTTTGTAAGAAAATTACCCCCAAGCACCTTTGCATAGCCTAGTTTGGAACCCCTTTGCCTTTAATTTGTCATGTGAAATTAAAAATGGCATCTAACCTAAGTCGAAAAGCTGAGTACAAAGAATGAATTGCAAGCACACATAATCAATGAAATAGTCAATTTTTAATAAAATTTTTATCTATACATTATCTATACGTTATATATGCACATATTTATGCATCTGTGCATATTTATAATCAGCATTTCCTGCTGCCATTTTGGATGAAAATTATTAAGTTTTTCGTATTGCATTTGGGATTGCCTCATCCGCGAAATGATACATGTGATTCCGTCCTAGATTTTGGCCTAAACGGGTATTTTAAAATGCAGCATGATTTTGCTGCTTTCTGTTCAGAGCAGCCTTCATGTTGGGTGCACGCCTATAATGTCTAAAAATGTTCTTCTAAATGGGCAGCTCACTAGAGGTTGGAACAGAGCCAGGGAGATGGACTAGTTGTGTACCTGAGAAGCTCTTTTGTGGTCCTGTGAAAAGAGAGAGACCTTGTTATAATGAGAGTAAAGGTGAAGGCCAGAGCAGAATGGAGTATGTTACAGTTGAGCTTCATCACCCCTGACTCGTCCACTACAAACCCTCGACCTTTGCCATACATTGTTTGACGCATGTATTGATGTGCGTGTGTGTGTAGGAGCTGGAGGCAGTGCGTGGGGGCGAAGCAGCTAGGCTGAGGGAGTTGTCTGCAGAGCAGCTGGAGCTGCAGAACGAGCTGGAGGCAGTGCACACTGAGCATGCTCAGAGACTGGGGGAGGTGCGGCAGGAGCAGAGGCAGCTGGAACACCGACTCAAGCAGCTCAGGCAGCAGAGCTGTGCCTGTCTACCCAAAGAGCAGGAGGCGCAGTACAACGCACAGGTACATGCATGGACCACAGCAGAGCCTATCTGAGTGTGCCCAGATGACTGTGTGATGCAATGATAAACTGAATTATTCCTGTATCCAGTGCAGTATGCTGCATGTATCAGTGCAGCTCATCTGTGTGTGGGAGTGATTCAGTAACGGGAAGACAGATACACGAATACACTGAGATGGAGAGCCAGTGACCGACTGATTTGCACACTGTGCCTGATTTCTGCATTTCAGCTATCAATTAGGGCAGTGGTGCTCAGACTTTTTAAACCACATATTTAATCAGTCTAATCAATTCAGATGTTGCGCTTTAATGTTGCTAAATACAGGAGTAAATCGAGTCTATGACTATTAGAACTATTAGAAATAATTTTCAGTTGTAGAAATGAAGCTGAAATAACATTTATTATAAATATTACATGAAAAAGTTACACTTTAAAAAAAGATTAAACAAATTTGTAATGTTGCCTTGAAATAAAAATTATATAGAATAAATATGATATAAAAGGAACAAATACATATCAAATTGCGAAAATGAAAATACAAAAAGCTTCAAAATATTTATAAATACAGTTCTATAATAGTATAAATAAGACTAAAATAACACTGCATCAGATATCAAGTTGTGAATGGACATGTGAAACCGTTTCTGGAGATTTTTTGCCCTTACCTAAGCCACATACCTTCTATGTAGATATCAGAGAACAATTTAAAATATTGTATCAATGCATTCTATGGCACCTTTAAGTGCTCAAATCACACGCACATGCACTGTTGTCCGCTCCAACATTAAAACTGAGCAGCACGATTCTTCTCTCAAAAATGGCACTGTAGATTTGCTCTGCAGTGCAGAAATCACTCATATTCATATTTGTGTTGTATGGAATATTTTGTGTGTTCCTATATGTAACCCCTCTCTTGTTCTGTCCGCAGCTGTGTGAGCTTCGCTGCCGTTTGGAGTGTGCCGAGGCGGAGCGGCAGGAGCTACAGGAGGAGCTCTGCAGAGAACGGGAGGCCAGAGAGAAGCTGGAGCTCATGATCTCGCAGCTTCAGCAGCAGATGACCCAGTCTGGCACCAAGGGGAGCTGCAGTAGTAGCCCTGCCCAGCCCCCGACCCCCTCCGCAAGCCCCCAATCCCAGCATTCCCTCTCTTCACCGGGCCCGGAGGTAACCTCCAGATAAACTCCTCCTCGCTCACCCCCCTCTCGCGCACACTTCCATGCCTGTAGCCCAGGAACACGCTCGCCCACTCCCTGCAGAGTCACAGGCAAACACAAGACAGCCTCTGCAGAAAAGAGCAGGTCTCCCATTCCCTTTGTGTCGCACCACCACAAAAAAAAAGACTTAAGGTTTGTGCTTAATGTAAAAAGACTTTGTGTAACCCTGCCCTCGACCAGTCGTTAAGCATTTTTTGGATGTACATGTTTGTTTTAATTTATAGTCGTGCTGAGAGGCTGATGGGACAGTGGAGGTATTTTATTCTAGGACGCTTGCCTTCTGTTGCATTGGGAAGGTGCTCGAGTGCTTTTTCGCTTCCAGCCCTTTGGTTACAGGAAACTGACACTCACTAAAATACTACCTGTGACATGGAGCGCCAGGATGCCAAACGGCAAGACGCCAATGCTCTGCAGCATCAAGAAACCATGTGGATGTTTACTTTTTTATTTTAATTTTGTGTCATTGTTTCCTACAGAAAAAATGGGAGAAAGTTTTTGTTAATATCACAAAGAATATCAGTAAAATATTATTCTATAGCATCTTTAAATCATTATACTTAATACAAGTGATTCAGAAACATAGAGGGGGCCCCTTTCTGAGGCTCCCCGGTTTAAGATCATAATCCTCCTCTTCCTCTCCTTCTCTCCTCCATTTTCTTTCCCTGCTTGTCTTTTGTCTTTTCAGTCTGGTGTTGATTATATGTTTCCTGTCTGCACTGCTGACCCTTTGCAGGCTGGTATATGACAAACAGCAGTAAGATGCAGTAAACAAAGACTCACATTCGCCCCCTGCTGGAGAACACTATGAAACTCGGCCCCCATTTAACTACAGGGAACATCTGCAGTTGTACAAATGAGGTTCAGCTCACTCTCAAGTTTATGTTCAGAGAATTTTCTAAGCACCGAAAGAGTACCTGTAGCACCAATAAGACCTTAGTGGTTGTAGTTGCTCAGAATTGCAAAATCAACATCCTATTTTCAAACAAAGCACATAGTAGACCTTATATTTGTAATTTTCTAAGCAAATTCGACAAGGATCCATTAGTAGTGCAATTAAAGCTGTAAACTAAGCATTGAAGTATGTCACAGTCTTCTATAAACCAGAGCTGATTTTTTTTATTCATTAGAAAACTGCTGATAAATTACCTATAATTTTTGAACGCTATATTAAATGATTTAGCTGTCACGTATTGGATGTTTAGCTAAAATATTTTTTTTTCATATACCTCCTTAATCATTCCTCTGTGTCATTATTCTGGATGACTGAACAAACCGGTCTGACAGAGAGAAGAAAAACAGACAGGAGGCCAAGGGAGGGACGTAAAGGAATTAATGCTGTCATGTTAGCTCCCAGTCACTGAGGGTTGAAGAAGCCCGCTTTGTCTCAAGCGTGCAGAATGGGGCAGCTGCCTCTGATGCCCAATCATACATTAACTGTTAGATGAATGAAGAAAGCTGGACACAGGAAGTGAAGTGTTTTTGTCACTAGAGCAGTTTCTTTCTCTTTCTTTCTTTCTTTCTTTCTTTTTCTTTCTTTCTTCAGTTCAGATTGATTGTGTAAACAATATAGGATGTAAATCTAGGCTTCTTTCATGATGTACATATCTCGTATAGAACATTCCACTGTGCACAACTCTTCGGATTCAAAGTCAGCCAAGTCGCAGCAGTTTTCTAAACCTGATAATGTGTACAGTGCAAAACCTCTTAAGGAAAATGTAAAGAAACACCCTGACTTATGTGAATACATCTAGCGTATGAAGAATCAAAAAACAAAACTATATTGTAAAAGAGTGCCATTTTTGAACTTTTTTTCTTGAAATTATTCAGAAATTAATGTATTAACTAATAAAGATTTATATATACTTTGTACATATGGTAGTCATTAATATATTAACTAAATTCTTATAAATAATCTTTCAAGGTTTCTGATCACATTTGCAAAATTTGGGCATAGCCCAAGCTCTGTTGTTTTGTTTTTCTTCTCTCTAATTGAAATTTTTTCTCATTTCTAACTGAAGAGTAGTTGTTGATAAAGTGTGTAAGGATGCATGATGCTCAGAACCCCTACACTATCCAGCGGGGAACGGGAACAGTGACGTATGCTGTCCAGTGCCTCAGTGTTTCCCTTCAGTGGGTCATCTCGTCCATTTCATTGGAGCCCACTGAGATTAACAACCTGTTGTTATTTTGGTGGTGTTCACTGTTCAGCTTTTCCTCTTCCCCATTATATATATATATATATATATATATATATATATACACATATATATATATATATTTTTTTTTAAATTAAGAGTTTAAATTCTTAGAAAGAAGGGAGTAAAATAATGCATGTATTGTTCGCTACTATAGTGTTATGCTAAAGCAGATTAATTATTGGTAAAATACAGAAGTGATTTTTTTTCTGTTCTCTCTCACACATACAAGCTTTCCAACAAATGTTCCTCCATATTGTCTGAGAAGAGTAGTCTTTATGTAAATGGGCACAAAATGTGCTCAAGAGGCTAATATAGATGCTAGAAACTTTTGATACGAGAGGCTGTGTGTGTCAGTGACAAATGAGACACGACTTACTGAAAAGAGCGAGGTTTTTTTTTGTTTTTGTTTTTTTTGTAATACAAGTATAAATATACAGTTTTGATTTCATGTGTAGTTCTTTTGAGAGATTGTAGCATTTGTTTTGGCACTGTAATGCATTACTACAGTGTCGACTACGATTTTCAAATTTCAATCAGTATTAGGTTTCTTTTGTTTTCACCACAGTTACCTCTGTAGCAGCCAGTTTCAATGCTGTTTTTGATAGTTTTGGGTATTAAAATGTATTTCTGAAGCTTTCTAGAGTATACCTTTTCATTTGTAACGATTCTATGAAACATGTAAATTGCATTTTGTACACAGGGGGGCGCTGTATATCTCCTATGTAGAATACCATGTTAAATTTGACTTATGGGTATAGGAATACAGTACTCTTTAGACTCTTGAAACCACAAACCTGTTTTGGCTTTTGCAGTGTTAAGAAAATGAATACAGATAACGTTGTACATATACGAGAGGTGTGAAATGTTGAATATCTGATATGTATAGGCCTGGTATAGTATAATTAGCAAAACTGTACCTTAAAGCAATCTAATGCTAGAGTTTTTCAGCAAAGTTACCATTTATTTTGCATTATAGAGGAAATATCCCATTTTACAGGGGACAGTGGCTCCCTTGAGCTGATTAATGGCAAAAGAAAAAAGAAAATTACAATTATATAAACAAAACATTTTTTTAGAATGGTAAAAATACACGTAGTATACAAATAACTACCTGCCAGCACAGCATGTGTCCCTATGATCTTGATCACAACTTTTCTAATGTATAACTGAGACATTACTACTAAATTTTTTTTTTTTTAATCAGACATGCTTTTTTTTTTTTGAGAACACGCATAACACTGTAATAGAAACAACACCATTGACTTTCGTAAACAGCAAAGATATTTTAAGTTGCAATTCTGAGATATGAAATGCAGTGTTTGTGTGTATCATTGCATAATATGTTGCCAATCCTACAGTGTGATGAGAGTTTTTTTGCTGTTGCATGAAAATGAGACGTTGCTCTCCTACCTCATGTTGTGATAAGATGTTTTCTAAAGCAGATGACGCATCTCAAACTGTTTATCATGATTGATATTTACGAGTTAAATACATGTACATGCTTTTAGCTGATACCTCAGTTGTATCTAGTGTTTTATTGTTCATTTCCCCTATTTCAGACATTGTAAATATATCTTGTATAGACAATAAACTTGGATTCAATTCAAGTAAAGTTCTGTAGTGTCAAACCGGCTGTGTCATTGTACTTTTTGCATTTTATGCACATTTGTTTTGACATCAAAATGGATGAAAGATAAAAAGACTAAATTTACTTACAAAAATTCAGTTTTTACTCACCCTCATGTTGTTCCTGTTTGACTTTCTCCAGTGGATTTTTTTCCTCTCCATTGTGGTCTAATGTTTTTTTATTTATTTTTTTATTAAAACATTCTTTAACCCTATAAAGTCTACAGTATCATATTTGATGATCAATATGATAATATAATAATATAATACTCGTTATCAATATATTATCAATATGATTAAAACTTTGCTGAGGAACCTGTTATACACTATCTTCTATGCCCTCTGTCATCTGATTGATAGTTCAAACGTTTTTGAATAAGTAAAAGGCCTCCAAGTATAATTTGTTTTGCTGTGAAATATTCAATGTAAATGATTTTTATAAAGTAAACATAAGAATAACTTTGATATTGTTATTAATATTTCAAGATGAACACTTATTGGTTTGAAGCAACTAGGTTTACTTAATTATCCATAAGTCTTTTAAAAAGAAAAAAAGTCATGTTAATATGAATGTATCAAATATGATACAACATGCATTTTGAGCAATGTTGATTTGTACATTTCAAATATCAAAATTTCATCTTACTGAGACATTATTGGCAGATATCGATTGACGACTGATTTATGCATTTTCTGTGAGTAGTCAGTTATACTGATTTACATTACAAGCTGTCAGAATTTCATTTTACTTTTTGGTCATGTAAGTAACAATCTACACCAAATTGCATATTTTTGCTCAGTTTAGACTTCTGAATAAAATGGTGTTTGTGTTCCTCCAGTGTGAGCTTCCTATTCTCACATATGAGCCATAATAAAAGGTTTATATATAATAATTATATATACTGTATATATATGTATGTGTGTGTGTATATGTATATATATATATATATATATATATATATATATATATATATATATATATATATACAGTGCCTATAAAAAGTATTCATTCCCACGTTTTATGTTGCAGCCTTATGTTAAACTACTTTAACTTTTTTCCCCACATCAATCTACACTCCATACACCATAATGACAAAGCAAAAAAACAGATTTGTGACAGCCTTGCAAATTTATTAGAAATAAAAAAAACTGAAATGATTCCATAGCATAAGTTTCTGGGACAGTTGAAGTTGCGTATTGCAATGTCTATCAGAGAAAAAAACCAAGCCCTGAGGTCAAAAGAACTGCCTGTAGAGTTTAGAGACAGGATTGCATCAAGCCACACATCTGGGGAAGAGGTCAGAAAAAATTCTGCTGCATTGAAGATTCACAGAAGCATGTAGCCTCTATTATGCATAATAGAAGAAGTTACAGAAACTTACAGAAGGACAAACATCACTGCAACACTCCACCGATCCGGTCTTTATGGCGGTGTGGCCAAACTCAAGCCTCTCCTCAGTGAAGACGCATGAAAACTCACTTGGAATTTGCAACAAAGCACCTAAAGAACTTGTGAGAAACAAGATTCTCTGGTCTGATGAACCTCAAAACCAGAGCTGCTCATCACCTGCAGAGTAGCATCCCAAAAGTAAAGTGTGCTGGTAGCAGCCTCATGCTGTGGGGCTGTTTTTCAGCGGCAGGGACTGAGAGACTCATCAGAGTAGAAGAAAAACTCAATGCACCAAAATATTGAGATAGCCTTAATGAAAACTCAGCACAGAGCATTCAGAAGCTCAGACTGGGCAGAAGGTTCACCTTACAACAGGACAATGACCCTAAGCACACAGCTTGAGTGGCTTATAGACATCTGTGTGAATGTCCTTGAGTGGCCCAGCCAGAGCCTGAGCTGGAACCCAGTCAAATATTTCTGGAGAAACCTGAAAATGTCTGCCAGCCCCCATCCAAGCTGACAGAGCTTGAGAGGTGAGGAGAAGAATAGCAGATAATTGCCAAATGCTGATGTGTAAAGCTTGTCACATCATTCCAGAAAAACTTGAGACTGTAAAGGTGCTTCAACTAAGTACTGCGTTAAGGGTATGAATACTTATGCAATATACTTGTTTCAGTTTTTGAATTGTAATAAATTTGCAAAGTTGTCACAAATCTGTTTTTTGCTCTGTCAGTATGGTGTATGGAGTGGAAATTGATGTGGGAAAAAAAGTTATTTAAAGCAGTTTAACACAAGGCTGCAACATAAAAAAAAACGTGGGAAAAAAATGAAGGGGTATGAATGCTTTTTATAGGCACTGTGTATATATATATATATATATATATATATATATATAATTTTATATTTTGTCTAAAGTTTCAAACTCTTTATTAATTAAAACATTTTTAAAACTCCATTAAAAAATGTATTTGTCTGACTATTATTTCATATCTTTAAAGGGTTAAATCTTATTTTGTGTTCCGCAGAAGAAAGACATACAAGTTTGAAACGACATAGGGTTGAGTAAATTGACAAAATGTTCATTTTGGATCATCTTTCTCTAATGCTGTCATAGTAAATGCTCTTAAACTGCAATAGTATCGGGGAGTCAATAAACCGGCTAGACTGCTAGCTAGCTCAAATGTAAATATACTTCATTGTATCTTCCTTGTAGTTTTCATGGGTTCGGTTTATTTATATATAGACAGTAAAGCACTTGTAATTGTTAGCTCTATGTTTGAAGCAGAAATCACAATTTTTACATCAGTCTGGTAAAAGGTGCTGGTCCAATATTCATTTTTCTCACAGTAAAGAGACGAATCATTTGTGCAAAAAAAAAGAAGAAGTAATTTACAAACCCAAAGGCGTTTCTTTTTTCCTTTTTTTAATGCAAACACGAAAGCAAAGAAGAAGAAAAAACGCCTTCTCCCGAGTAAACATGGTCAGATATTGTGTAGTGTTTTAACTTGAGTGGATTGTTGGACTGTTGTCCATAATTCCACTCGTCAGCTCCATATGTATAACAAAAGTACCAGGAACAAAAACCATCTGTAATGGTGTCGCTGTTCTTGGAACTCGATGTAAAAGAGCGGCCGCACAGAGCCACAGCGACGGAGAAGCTGTTGAGGAAACACAACCAGATGACGTTCAGCTCCATCCGGAGCAGCGGCGAGACGATCATCAGAACGAGAA